ATTTTATTATCAATTGTGTACTCTCACATCAACGCAATAATTCTGTCCTAGATTCAGTATATTGACGTTCAATATATGTTAAAACACGCTTTGGTCAATTTAAAGAAGCCTTTTTTTTTCGTTATAATCGTTACATTAGACGGTTTCATTTCTCCCCTTAACTCTGTGCTATAGGTATCATAATGTATAAATATATTTGACCCTTGGCCTTCCTCATCTGACATATTATTATCTCCTTCAATTATTATCGTTTAAWYTTTTCACGTATAAGTCCTATTGTTATATGCCTTCTGTGTTGAATACATYGCCATCATTTCCTTTTATTTTGTATTATACCTTTACGTTGGCTATTCTTTCAGTCCATCACGAGATATTTATAGCGATTTTCTGAAGTGCCAAATCTCAAAAGGTCCCGCCTTGTTTTTTCTGCTGAACAAATTTTAGAGAATTCTTTTGCAACAAAACAATGCCATGCTTCATACTAGATCGTTAAGAATTTCTACTTTACAGACACATTGACGCTTTCGCTATTAGTTTAATGAGTAAATGGTCTAGAATGCTCTTTTCACGCATATGCAATCATATAAATTATTAATATTATTGTTATTTTGTGACGTCCATCCTCTGAAATACTGCTTTCAATGTATTTTAAATATTTTATATAATAAATTCATTCAATCAGTTTTTTTCATGCGTATATAGATTGAAACTACTATTTTAATATCAAACAATACTTTTTTGGTAATACAAATTTACTTTTTTTAACACAAATATTCACTGTTTGTATGATACCATCCACTTGTATTTATAAATAAATTTTAAATAAATTTTAAATAAATATTTTATTTCATTTTAGTATTGGCTGTTTTATTTTCATGATTTTTAAATTGTGTAGCATATACGGTATTTTCACATCTTACATTACTCAAAAATAAATCATATTTTAGCCTCTTATAATCCGAAACGTGCGTTATAATTTATTAAATTCACCGTGCAGTGTGTGAGAGCGTACTAGTTCTGTATTCGAGGAGTAGCGACTTGAATAATTATTGGTTTTTATACAAGAAAAGTAAAATCAAAATTAAATATGGTACCAGAAATTTCTTCGAAACTGAATATCTATTTTTTTAAAGTTTCRTTAGACAAATCTAATTAGTTTGTGGTAAAATAAATAGAGTAGAATTTAAGCTTATGTATAATAATTTTAGTGTTCCCCGTTATTTATCATTATTTATCTATTTTTAGATGCCATGCTATATTATATTAAGTTTGAGTTTTTATTGTGCTCATGTATATTTACTAATCCGTTTATTTTTGTTTAAATAATTTTCCTGATATTATTCTTTTATTATTTAATTATAATAACTCCCTCTCTCCAACACTAAAGTTCAAACTCAAAGGAAAAAGGTTAATCGAAATTGTAATACATAAATTATCTGTTTTGTCGGAATAAAAAGATTAAAAAAAAAATAATAGTTTAATTTAAATAATACCTCATAACACTACAAAGAAAAGTTTTATTTTTTTCTCTTCCTGCCGTCGGCCAATTACCTATACTACTAGACTCCAGCGGCATCAGGAACCCACAATAAAATACACGGACCTCGAAATAATACTCAGAAAGCCGGCCAAAGACCTCGAAGTTTTTTTACATCGTATTTGTACATCGACACTTCGAACAATCTATACGTTCAACCGCGGAAACTTCTCAGCAGGCATATTTTTGGGAACATAACAAAAACAACAACAACAACAACAACAACAACAACAACAATAATAATAGTTATGTGTAGAGAACCCACAAAGTACTATGGTGTTCGGAAATAATAGGCGCGGTCGTCATCGCTRCTGGTTTAGCCTCCATGGAGTTACTGCAGTCTGCCCGCTGGTTTATACCGTTTGGTGGGTGCCAGTGGTGTAGGGCACCGCTTTTTGCCTTTGCACTTGATGTGTATTCATGTTTATAATATACACAAATACGTACAACTTGTACACGTGCAAAACCGTTGAAATAATTCACGACGTTTGTCTCCGCCTCGCACAGAGCAATTACGATTTACATAACTGTATATAATGCATGTCAAAGGAGCGATGTCGAACGAAAACGCCATATTTTCTAACTCGAGTGTACAACCGTAAGCGTTTGAGATTTATTAAGGCAGAAGTCCTATACAATATAYCATTATTGAATGAGGGGTTAATAAATGTGATTGTAGGCTTAGCACTAACCTCTCCCCCCTTATACTTAAGCTGTACAACTCTTCCGAACGTGTCGTATTATTAATATTAATATCATTATTATTTTTTACAATATAACGCTAGCRGAGTTAGAAAGAATTGGCAGTGGTGAAACACCGTCGTCGCGACGCTTCAAACAGAATATACAATAAACATATATTAAGTCCACTGCACAAATACATTATTATTATTGTTATTTGTTGCATAATGGCACGTAGTACACATATTTTATAATATTATCGTGTCCACGCCTCGGTGGTTTATATTATATTATGATATTATTAGCTAGGYGCATGCCTCGATTTTAATATGGCTACGATTTATAACGATTCTCCATAATTCTCTGTTATTCTTACAACTATTATACTATACAAACGCATCGTATAAATATTATTAAAGAGATAAATTTACMGCGCACATCAAGCGCCAGTAAAATACAAAATTAATATAACATTTAATGCATTATTTTAAAACATGCTGTTGGCGTGAGAATTAAAGAAGGTCGCTGTAATATTGTAGAAAATCATATTATTTTGATATTAAAACCACAAGCTTTATTAACCTTTGTTTTTATTTTTTTCAAAGAATTTATAATTATTTACCAATGACTTACCTACCAACTCTCAAACTACTCTATTGTTAATATTGTTGCTATATTTAATATATATGTAWATATAAGATGCAAATACATTATCAGGTATCATTTTATTTCTTTATTTGATAGTACAAACGAATTKTTATACCATAATTGGGTCATAGATAAATTGTTCGTTATAATAGATTGTTATTTTACGGAAATATTATATGAACCAAATTATTTTCTCGAAAGCTATAAAATATGCACAAAGAAAATAATTTTCGGAGTAATAATTATATCACGAGGTATGTCAAAAACGTATTGATTCCACAAACATTGAACTCCGTGGTTGAAAAATGTATATTTATTTGTTTTGACTTAAATGAAATACGCGTGTACGTTTTTGTTGTGAATATGAATAATACTCACTGAGAGGCTTATGGAATTGCAAATCGAATTGYAAGAAATCGTCTGCTCCGTACAAGCTGTCCGTCAGCATTCCCAGACCTCCTGTCATAAGTGACCGTCCCAGGTCTCCGTCGTAGCTGATGTCTTCGAATTCAGTATCGGCTCTGGGTGCCACATAGCTTACTACGTTTTCTGAAAGAAAAAAAAACTTGATTAATAAAATGTACGTTATAATGTTCTAACTGTTTTAAAACAGTAAACAC